CTTTCTACAGCAACCTGACCTGTTCAGTCAAATAGTGATCTTGATCTTTAATTGCTCTGGGACACTACCCTGCGTGAGGGGTGCTATAGAACAACAACAAATTACATTTGTGAAGCGCCTTTCACTTTGGGAGGACATCCCAAGGCGCTGGACAGTCAGGGATTTGAATCCACAAAGGGGTTTGGGATCAGAGAGGGGGTGAAGGGCAGGTAGGGGTAGGTTGGTGACCGAAGGCACGGTCAAGGAGGATGGTCTTGAGACATGCCTTGAAGCAGGCAAGTACTAAGACTGTGACATTGGGTCGCCTATCCCCACCAGAGAAGGGTATCATCATTTGTTACAGATGACAACAAGTGGAGTTATTTCCACCCCCCCCCTCCCATCACCCCCTTATGTTTCAACCCTAAGTTCCTCTTCAGACCTCTCCCAAATTAGTCACATGGTTTATGCCCTCCTGCTGTTTGATAAAACAGGTTGCCAGTTTTATGCTCTAGAATTGCATATTCCTGTCTGGATGGAAAGACTATTCTGCAACACAATGAGATCCTTTGCTATTGACAAGGTGGACCGAATTATTCAGTGAGTGTAGCCCAAAGAAACTTGTTGATAGCGTAGAACCCAAAGGCATGACTTGTGACTTGTGGGGCATGGTCTCGGCTATGTTGATAAGTTCTTCCATAACTTTGCCGCAAAAGTAATTCAGGGGTTTTGCCACATTGCATGCAGCAAACCGCTGTATTTCCTTTCATTGTCTAATTGCTGACTGTTAGGAATCCCCTTTGTGCAGGGGCACAGAACAGCATTTTCAGTGCTTACTAGTTACAATCTGTGGGACATGATCGTTGAGTTCTGTATCTACATTTATAGGTTATGTTGTGTAGTTGTAGGCCTGGGAACATTTTTTTTAACTCATCCCTTTGTCATTTTTAAAGATGAATTCGAGGAGCCTTCCTCTTCTGCTGAGCAGAAGCATCCACCAAAATTGTCAATGGATAGGAATGCCCACAGGCAATATCCTGCTAGCCAGGACACGGTGTTAATTTTCATTGCATTGGGTTTGTTTTGATCACCATCATTTTTTTTTATTTTAGCAATGATTCTTTGATGTTGGCACAGGGAAAAGATCATACCATTGCAGAAAATTGAGATGAAGGTGTGTTACTGGCAGCGCGAAATGTTGGGCGAGTTTCTTTACTCCACACGTCTCTGTTTTCCTAGCAGTAGTAGGAACCTGGTTGTTAGTTGATTGGTGGATTGTTTTTCTGGGGATAATAATCCCTCAAGAAAAAAAACACAAAATAATTTGGTCACTCAATCCATGACCATTTGTGGGACACTGCTGTGTGCATTTGGTTGCTGTGTTTCGCCCACAAATATACAGTCAATTCACTTTACAGTATATTCTGTGAAGTGCTTTGAGACGTCTAGAAGATGTGAAAAGCACTATATCAAATGCAAGAATTATTATTATGGTAAGAATATTAAAGAGATTTTAATATAAAATGTCTTGGTTCTGTGTACAAGTATGCTGTAAAATATGGAAAATAGGAGGTAAAGGACTACAATTTGGTCCTATCTGGCAAGTCCTGAAATTAAAACCAGTTTAGAAATTTATGTCTTACAATAATAAAATAATTCTACAATACTCACTCATACAGTTGAATTAAATTCCTCACCAAATAGCTATAAATCCCACTTGAATCTGCACACAAAAAGTTTCTGATTTGATCTCTCGTGGGTGACGTGCTGAGCTGAAACAAAAGGCTTCCCCCCCCTACCCCCCCAGGGATAGAATGAAATAAGCTCAGGGTGAAATCGTGTACGTTCCAGTGACTGTCATGAGGAAGATTAGCAGAAGGATAACTGAAATTTACATGGCTGTCATGGAATCGTTTGTAGTGTGGGGGAATATTTTGCTATTCTTTTCAAAATGAATCAGTAAGATGTAGCCTTGTTTTTAAACTTCTGTCAGTTATGTTTAAAGTTGTGGTGTCTTGATAGTTTTGTAGCACATAAGAGCGCACATTTATAAAATGTTCTTTCTATGGCATGTATTATAAAGATGTTCCAGGTCTGTCAAGCTAAGGTCAATTTCAAGAGTGCCGAGGTTGTATACTCAGGACATTGATTGCTACTTTCACCTTTGGATTCCTGCTAAATGCCCACAGATGATGAAAGGTCAGCTCTGTATACGATCAATCTCTGTGTTCTGAAATTGACCTCTGCTGCCTAAACCTGAATACCGTAACTGCTGACACCCAATGAAAACTTAAGCACACATAGCTACAACACATATGTATATGTGTTATAGCTATTATCTATGTATTGAAGAATTTGGATAACTATGAAACACTTCAGTTCTTAGGTACAATTTAATTGCATTTTATTTCAATGGCAAAATGTGGGGCAAATCCAAAAGGACATTTTGTATGTTCCTGTAGAAGGGTAATTTCAAGTTGAAAGCATATTTAAAAGTTATTCAGTGTTTATGTACTGCATGTGAAATAAGTTTTCCCCAATTCCAATTTCTCTTGGATTAATGTTCTTATTTTCTCACCAAGATTGATCACTCTCAAATTTCAAAAGGAAAATAAACTTCTGTATAATAGCCTCAAACTAAATTCCCATTACATTGATGCCAGTTATTATGCAACCTTTCTGAAATATGATTGTATTGCAAAATGTTTGTATTTTTACATGGAATTTTTTTTATATATCCTAATTACTGCTCTCACTTTTCCCTTTTTCTGTCATGTGGCTCATCAGTCTAAATGACAATCTGATGATTTATGTTTTTAATTGCATTTCTTTGAAATCGATGGTTTTGACCAGACAAACCCTCTTGGCAAGTTTCCTTACTCCACACGCCCAATAATAATCCCTCCAAAAAAACAAAACAATAATAAATTGGTCATTTTCAATCTACGACTGTTTGTGGGACATTGCTGTGCGCAATTGGCTGCCGCGTTCGCCCTCAAATATACAGTCAATTCACTTTACAGTGTGTTCTGTGAAGCGCTTTGGGACGTCCTCCCGACGTGAAAAGCGCTATATCAAAATGCAAGGATTATTATTATTATTATTTTTTAGCAAGTTGTTGTCAGCGCGAATTAAAAGTCAGATGGAACCGATTCCAAGGACTCTTTTTTTTTCTCCTTGTGTGACATTGAGTTTCTGACCAGTACATAAGGCTAAATTCATAACTTCAAAAACAGTGTTCATTAATGGTCAATTGAAACTTTACTGTCTCTGAATTCAATGGATCAATTGTAAGGAGAACTGTAATGATGAAGTCAGGGAGAGGGAAAACAACTGAACAAGTGTAGTACTGTTCACATGTTTTTTACACTGAGAATGTGGTTCAGAGAATTATTTACTGTAATTCTGCAAAAAGACTTTAAACTGCTATTGCACAAAATGACTCGGATTTCAATAATGGATTTAAGTCGTATTCATTCAGTACAACAGGGAGTGAGTATGGGTACTTGTATCATTTAATGAGTTTGGTCATAAAAATTGTTGTACAGTGCATATCTTAAAGTGATTATCCCACTCCTTTGAAGTTCACACACAGTGACTGAGAGCTGAGAGGTGCTGTATCCACCTGCTCCAGGGCTGCATAAATATGGCTCTGCATCTGGCAGCTAAGGACATGCACAAAACTGGCTAGGCTTTAAACCGTGATTTTAAAATAAAACACATTTTGGATATGTGTTTGTCTGCTTTTTTTCCCCTTTTCCTTCTGTGGGCATCTGCTGCTGCAAACCTGTGTCCAGTAATGAACTGATCCCAGGGCTCTTTGTTTCTGCTACACTTTTAATTAATATTTCTTTGATAGGACTTGAGTTGAAAATAAAAAAACCTACAGTTGTTTACAAAACAAAGCTTTAAAAATTGTATGTAGCTTTAATTAAATCTGAAATAGATCTTTGGATTAGTGTTACTAGATAACTACTTTCATTGTTTATCAAGATTAAATCTACTTAGCTAAAGTTAGTTTGGCTTCTGTGGCTACTCATTCTAAGCATATGGAGATGATCTTGAGCAAGGTCATTTTGTTCTTCTGGCATGGAGCGCATAGAAGTCTGCTACATGCACTCAGTTGTCAACTTTCTAATGACCAACTTGTGGCTATCCTCCTTGGGGCGAGGCAAGTAGGGTCTCTTTAGGGTAGCGATAGCTTAATTGGCAACCTTCTTGGTGAGAAGAGTGGGGAGCTGAATGTGCTCTCTGTGGACTCTGGTCTGATCCTGCCAGCTACTCCAGGTCCCATTGAGAAAACAAGTGCCTCAGGACATTGTTGATGATTATCCAGCCTGCCTTGTTTCTCAATGGGATCTGGAGGAGCTGGCATGTTGCTGGTGAACAGAATTCTTCCTCCTTGGTTCCTGTTCATAACCGTAATTCAATTTCCAAATGTGTAAGGTGGTGCTGTCCGGCTTAGCAGTAAGAAAGTTACCAATGTCTTGTATTTGTAAGGTGTGTTTACTGATTCCAGATGTATCCTCAGTGCAAACTTTGCAGTATTTAGAGTCTTATTTTTCCACTCACCTGCTGTCATCATAGGCAAGCAAAGTGTTCCCTCCCTCTCTTTCTCTCCCCACTCCCACTCAGAAAGAAACACAGACTCTTACACCAGCTTCCCAAGAGAAAGTTTATACTAAAGAACTGGCAGATAAATCTTGTATAAATTATTCCTCCCCTTTCATATGTTAGCACTAACTGTTTAGGTGCAAATATGAAGAAATTTTGGAGGTTTGTGCTATTGGAACAGTGTGCTACCACGAGTTTCTTTAAAAGAAAAGGAAGATATAGTTGAAATAAATACTAATTTCAATTGTAATTGAGGGGAATAGTTAGTTGCAGTAATGTTGGTAAAGTAGTAGGAGTGACCTGAATTATAGCTGTAGAATCTGGGATGGATTTAGTGGCTAAAGATAAGGTGAACAGTGTATGAATGCATACAGAGTGCTTTAATCCGACACTTTTGATCTTTCTAGAAATGAATGGCTATCTTCACATTTTCTTTAGAAGTGGTGAAGAATTGGATTAAAAGCCACCGGACTTACAATTGGGCTGGTGAGGCCCAGAGACAGGAAAAGTTTTCATTCTGTGACTCCAGAAGCTCAAGTAAGCATTCACAATTAAGACTGCAGAGACACTAGTTGGGATCGTTCATTGACGCATCAAATATATATAGTACACAGGTCTATATTTGTAAAGTTTGTAAAATATCCACATTCCCATTGTACATTTTATCTTGTATATGCAATGGGAAAAATGGGAAAGGTAACTAGATTGGATATAAGAAAGCTCATCAAATTATACCGGTTTGGTTGTTTTTTTTCTTAAATTATTTAGCTTATAATTCAAAAAAGAAAATTGTTTGCACTTTTGATTACTGTGTGTGAATACTTTACAGTCTTTAGAATAGTATATTGAATTGTTTTGATTATGAAGTAAGTGTTTATTAAAAAAAACTGCATATTTTCTGTGCGGTGAACAATAGAAAAATGGGGTGCTAAGTATGGTATAGTAAGTACATTTGATTGTAATAGGGTTAAAGTATGACATCTCCTGTGCAGATGGATTCCGATTATTAGAAGCTGCTGTTCTCACTTGCATGATAATAAGTGACCTTACAGAATCATAGAGCACCGAATTTTCTAAGATAACATCAGCAGTGTTCTGAGAGTAATGGTGTCCAAGCCTCTTGTCTTTCCACCTATTGTATTGAAACTGACAGCTGAAAGGAGTAGATATCAGCTACGTGACAGGCGTGATAGATCTACATAAAGAAAGATTTGAGTCCATAGTTTCTGCTCATTGTCATATCTTACTATGGTCACTGATTGTAAGGAGATTTTCTTTTTAAATCTAATAGGTAAAGAGATTTCTTAGAGTTAATGAGCAACCTTGCTATTGGACATCCGTTGGATTCTTAACTGGTAAACGTTAAAATGAGTTCTTGTTGCGTATGCAGATATATCGTAACTTGAGTTCTATTGTGGTAACTACTTAGGGATTACAGATTTTTACACATTGCTTTGTCTCCGTCAGTCTGCATTGAAGTGTGATGCCATCTGTTTTCAATGTGTTTGTAGTAATAGCTGATGGATTGCAGTTCTACAGGATCACGTATACTATGGCTGAACAATAATGAAGGAAACCAATTGTGCACATTCCATATGCATTATAGGTTTTATTGTCTTATGTGCTGATTATTAATCATTATAGGGGAACTGCACAAATTTAGTCACTGTGTTGGATTTTCTTGTTTGGAAAAATATACGTAAATGTAATTTTTAGTAGGGCATCTAACTGAACCTAAGTGATTATAGTGTTGCAATCTAGGTTGTGTTGCCATATGACTATCCATTGTTTAGTACTTTAAAATGTTACCAGCTGTTAGTGTATAATGATCACAGCTTTACTTAATGTTTACATTTTCTATTCAGACAATAGCTGATTAATCAGAAATTATTAGATTCAACTTCAGCAGTGAAAATGAGTGTATAATTGAAATACTTTCTTGTGTGAGCAGCAGTTTAAAAANTATTTAAAAGCTTTACTATAATAATAATAATAATACTTGTATTTGATATAGCACCTTATCGCGCCTTCAAGACGTCTATTTCTACTCAAGTGGTTGTTAGGGTTGGGACATAGAAGTTTTTGCCTACGTTGAGTTTGTAGCATTTTTGCCCCTGAGTCAGAAGGTTGTCCCTATGTGGGGACTTGGAACTTGTATCATCTGGGCTGACACTAATGCATTGTTGTTGTTGTTGCATTGTTGGGAGGGGCATCCTTCGAATGAGTGATTGAACCAAGGTCCCGCCTGCATGTTCAGATGGATATTAAAAATAACATGGCACAATTTGAAAAGGAGTTTCTCTCAGTGACCTGGCAAACAATATACCAATAAAATGGTCATTCGCATCATGGTTGGATCTTGTGTGCGAATTGGCTGCCATATTATCACGTCATGGAGACATCTCAAATCGCTTCACAGAATATACTGTAAAGTGAATTGACTGAATATTTTGTGGGCAAAAGTCACTCCACTTTTCATTGTATCCTGTAAAGTGTTTTGAGGTATCCTCCCAACTTGAATGGTGCTAAACCAAATCTAAGGATTATTCCTATTCTATTATTTTTTCCTATTCTGGCACTTAGTACCGGGTCATGTGTAGCACAATTAAGTTGGATTTGGTCTGCAAGTTTGCGACAATAGCTGCCATCACTGCCACAACCATATGGGAAACAATCTAGCCTTATTGGGTGTTTTGCTGTAGAGTTGTTTCTTCTGATAACCAATGTTTGAACTCTTTGAGATCCTGTAACTCAGTGGTTAGAGCACTCGTCTCACAAGTGAGAGGACCTGGGTTCGATTCCTGGACAGGGCAAAATGTTGGGCAAGTTTCCATACTCGACACTCCTCTGTTCACCTAGCAGTAAGTGGGAATTTGGTTGTTAGTCAATTGGCGGATCGCTTTTCTGGGGTAATAGTCCCTTCAAATTTAAAAACAAAATAAAAAATAATTTGTTCACTCAATCCACGACACTGCTGTGTGCAATTGGTTGCCGCGTTTCGTCCACAAAATATACAGTCAATTCATCTACAGTATATTCTGTGAAGCGCTTTGAGTCTCAAAGACATGATAAAGCGATATATCAAATGCAAGGATTATTATTAAATGTCTGTATTGGCAGTGAGATGCATATCATTGTCACATTACATGTGCAATTAAAGTGGTGGCTAACATCTCAAAGTCAGTGTCATTCTTTAGCCAGTTCATAATTTAGCCTAAACCCAGTGTAAAATACAGAGTAATTTTCCCACCACTTTGTGCTGCGCTAACAATGACTTCCAAGCTTTTTGATTGAAATTGCAGGATTCGGTAAACAAGTTGTATTGCTAAGAAATTTAGTTTGCTCCTGACTATTTGTCGTACTTATTTCGGCTATTTCTCAACTGAGAAACAATTAGAAATCAAACTACTGGCTTCCAGTTTGTAATCACTGTTATGCTTTCAGGCAGCAAATCACACATTTTGATCACAGTGTACCTCAGTTTTGATCTCAAAAGAACACTCAAATCTCACATCGTATTTGAGTTAGTTTGCCTGTTAGAAGGTCATGTCAATGAGGAACCAGATTGTGATGCTTGAACTCATTCCACAGAGGATCCTTGGATGAAAGAAACAACTTGCATTTTTTTTCTAGCATCTTATCGCATCAAAATGTCCCCCAAGCAATTTTTAGTTAGGATATGTGGCGACTATTTTCTTTATTGTCTGGAAAATGAGCATTCATCCAAAAGCCAACTAATCATGATGAACTGGATTCAAATTGTGTCTCAGAGGTGAAAAGCCATTTTGCTAATTCACTGCACCACTTGGTCTTTCTACTTAATATTTAAAATATGGAAAATGCATATTCAGTTCTGGTCGACAAGATAGCCTTGTAGCCTTCCCATAAGGACACAATCATTACAAATACTGACTCATATAGAGTACTATTGTATAAACAATAGAAATTCAGTTTCTTGGAAATTGATAGTCTATCGTCTGTACTTTGCATCAAAATATGTGCTACAGTCCCTTTAATTGTTTATTTTTTACCTTTTATTTTTTAAGCGCCCTGAGATGCAATGTAAATGCAAGTTGTTGTTTACTGTATCTCAAATTGTTAATCTTCTGATTTGAGTATAATCTCCCTGTAGTTCTTTCCATGAACCATGAGATATTTTCTGATCACATTGTTTAGTATCGATATGCTAGAAGTATCCACTTATTTTTTTCAAAAGGAAAATATCAAACACTATTTTTAAACAAATAATGCCACTTCTTCCTCGCTCACCCAGAAGTAAGGGTTAAAATAATCTATTCATGTATTCTTGGACTGCAGAGTTGTTAAAATCCAACCAACATTTATGTAATTTTGTTATACAGACTGTACAACATTTCTGACTTTGCAATGTTTGTAATCCAGTTGGACTAGCAAACAAAAGCTTTTATTCCAAATCAGTTGGTGCATTTTGTTGCAAATTTACAATCATCGCAGATTTGTAGCAGAATTGGCAATTATACCAATGGGAGAGTAACACTAAGAGTTGAATGGTATGGTGCAAATTAGTGTAGAATACAGCAATTACATTACTAATTGCATCCACCATTTACAAATCGGGAACAGCTCAGGTTAGGTGCAAAATTAAGGTGCCTCTACTTCGCCCAACAAATATTCTGCCCTAAACAAATTGCTTTAACCTTAACCTCAGATGATCATTCCCTACAGCATCAGTGTGACATTTCTGTTTCCTATCCTAGCCGCCCTGCTAAGTGAAATGGCTAATTTGTGCCAAATTATGGAAAGTATTGTGGACCTATGCCCACAGGAAACGTGTTTAAGGCCATTCAGTCTGCTGAGGATCCTTACAACAAACCCACACACAATCTCCATCCTATCAGTTTGGGTTGAATTTCAGCCTACATTCAAGAGGTGAAATAGCAATCCATTAAATCACTGTTATGCTATCAATAAGACTTCAACCCATGACCGCAATCCAAAGCCAAGGTAGTAATCGTTTGCTAATAAACCTGTAAAACCGTTCATTGCTGATTCAGGGGAACCTTTACCATATCCATAATTGAGTTACTTTTAATGAGGTATAATGTGACTTAGTTAGTATTGAATGTAGTAACATATACAGTATTTAACACATTACCAAAAATATTTTTTTCTCAGCACTAAAACAAGATATTTTTGGTATGAAAAAAATGTTTTGCCTGTATAACATTCACATTAATTCTTATCTGCTTTGAAGCACCTTTTTTGGATGTGAAAAGCAATATATGAATGTAAGTTTTTGCCTTTAAATGAGAAAAGATAAAAGATAAATAATATGCTGAATATTGTTTGTAGCCTAATAGCTCAACTTTGTTTTAAACCTCTTTGCTAAACTTTTATAGGAAATGGCTTTTCTCTGTGTTGAGGGAAGGAGGAAGGAAACGCTTCAACAGGAATCCAAAGTTAAAACCATCTGCTAGAGATGTGTACTGTATTGTGGAGTGGGGTGATGCCGAATGCTTTGGACAATTCCTCATGTTCTATATTGTTTATTTTTGCCT